TTGCCCTTTAAGTTTTTTGTACTTACTATTAAACCTTATAACTTGAAAACTATAAATCATAGAAGCATGGGGACAACTGCATTGTGACCTTTGACCTTGAATATTTTTCAAGGTCAAAGGTCAAGGTCATTCTTTTTTTTTTAATTTTCATTTTTTCTATGCATTAAGGGAGTTTTGGTTTCTTTTTCTTGGAATTTAATTTTTAGTAGTCTGATATAAAACAAATTTAAAATTCAAAGAAGGTGGAAAGACCTCTTATTGTTCTGTGAACAATAAGTCTCCTAGTTTTCCTTTTTCTTATTATTTTATTATTTTTCCGCCGTGTGATTTTGAGTTTCAAGATTTATCGAAAAGATTTTATTTTCATAAGAATGTACTCCGTAAAAGATTTTTGCAGTTGACCCTGCATATATGAACTATGACCCCTTTCGGAGTTATTACCCCTTTCGCAAAAAATCTTGTTATCGCTACTACTCCGAAACCATAAACAGTAGAGAAATGAAACCTTCACTAATGTCTTTGACTACTTTAGTATACACTTCATTGATTCATTGCGAAAGTATTCATTGACCCCTTCAGTGAGTTATTGCCCCTGATACTCTTTGAATTTTACAAATAATTAAAAATTTTCAAAACAAGAAGTCGTAGAGACATGGGACAAACTGCATAAGATTCATTGATCTTTGACCTTAAAATTCATGTAAAGGTCAAAGGTCAAGGTCATTCCAAAAATGAGAAAATTAGCTGTTTTTGTATCTCTGTTGTCTTTCAACATATACTTAATGTCTATGCATCAGTGATATATACTCTTAAAACTGTTTCAAAGATTTCATTTTTGTCCCCTAAGATTAAACCTTTTAAAAGTTATTGCCCCTTGTGCAAAAAACCTTGTTATCGCTACTCCTCCGAAACTGTAGACCCTACAGACACCAAACCTTCATTAATGTCTTAAGGGTCTTTAGACCTAACTTCATTGTATAAGTGCAAAAGAATTTGAGGACCCCTTATATGAGTTATTGCCCTTTAGCTTTTTTGTACTTACTATTAAACCTTATAACATGAAAACTATAAGTGGTAGAAGCATGGGGTCAATTGCATTGTGACCCTTGACCTTTGACCTTGAATATTATTTCAAGGTCAAAGGTCAAGGTCATTTTTTTTTTTAAATTTTCATTTTTTTCTATACTTTAAGACGATTTTGGTTTCTTTTTCATGGAATTTAATTTTTAGGAGTCAGATATAAAACAGAGTTCAAAGAAGGTGGAAAGACCTCTTATTGTTCTGTGAACAATAAGTCTCCTAGTTATAATATTCCTTGTGAATACGGCCGTTACCGTTGCAAAAAAGCACACAACAATGTTTATCATGACCAACGGCCGCCATGTTCCTTTGCTGGTACCGACATTAGCCTCGTTTTCGATCTGCTGGCGGGGCTTATGAATATTCTTTGAGAAGGGAGTATTGAAAAGTTTCAATCCAGAAGTAGTCCCATGACCAATCGTGGATTTGCTATTCTTGAAAAGATGATTTTTGAAAAATTTTCCTATTTATTTCTATGTAAAACTTTGGTCAGCCATTTTGGCCCCGCCCTTACTCTCGGGGGTTATGATTTGAACAAATTTGAATCTACGATACCTGATCATATGAGGATGCTTCCATATAGATATGATGAAATATGGCTTTGTCATTCTTGAAATGAAGATTTTTTAGAAATTTTCCTTTATATTTCTATGTAAAAATTTGTTCGACCATTTTGGCCCCGCCCTACCCCCGGGGGTCATGATTTGAAAAAAACTTGAATCAATATTACCTGGGGATGCTTCCATATAAATATGATGAATGATGGCTTTGTCATTCTGGAGAAGAAGATTCTTACCGAATTTTCCTATGTATTTCTATGTAAAACTTTGGTCGGTCATTTTGGCCCCGACCTACCCCCGGGGGTCACGATTTGAACAATCTTGAATCAATATTACCTGGGGATACTACCATATAAATATGATGAAATATGGCTTTGTCATTCTTGAAATGAAGATTTTTTAGAAATTTTCCTTTATATTTCTATGTAAAAATTTGTTCGACCATTTTGGCCCCGCCCTACCCCCGGGGGTCATGATTTGAAAAAAACTTTTTTCACTACCATATAAATATGATGAAATATGGCTTTGTCATTCTTGAGAAGAAGATTTATTAAGAATTTTCCAATTTATTTCTATGTAAAATTTTGGTCGGCATTTTGGCCCCGCCCTACCCCCGGGGGTCATGATTTGAACAAACTTGAATCTACACTACCTGAGGATGCTTCCATGTAAGTTTCAGCTTTCCTGGCACAGTGGTTCTTGAGGACAAGATTTCTAAAGTATACCACTAAATTTTCACTAATTCCCAATTATCTCCCCTTGAATGAGGGCTTGGCCCTTCATTTGAATAAACTTGAATCCCCTTCACCCAAGGATGCTTTGTTGCAAGTTTGGTGGAAATTGGCCCAGCAGTTCTTGAGAAGAAGTCGAAAATGTAAAAAGTTTACAGACAGACAGAGGGACAGACGGACAGACGGACGCCGGACAAAATGTGATCAGAAAAGCTCACTTGAGCCTTCGGCTCAGGTGAGCTTAAAAGCTTAATCGCGAAAATTAATCGTCGCGAAGGACTTCACCCCTAGTAAATAGGGAAATTAAGTCGTTGCGAAAAAAAAATTGGTTTACAGTATTCAACGACACCATTTAATATTTTTTCTACAACATGAACATAAGCATGCTTAAATGTCTGAAAAAATGGTATTTGAAAGGAGCATTCACAAGGGGATAGACCGATACATGTGTACAAAACCAAACACAATGCATTTGTAACAACACGGATATTTTCCAAGGGAGAAATAACAGTATGGTCACAGAAATGACCGAGTATTTAGGATTGCTTGCAAGGGAGTCAAATTCATAATTATTATTCATGTAGTAAGGTCTTAATGATAAATCCTGGTCAAAGTTTTGTTATTTTCATTTCGCTTTAATCAGCTAACTCATGATCGGGAAAATTGGGAAAATCCGTCGTCGATCAGTGTATAAATAATGGACTAGCAGTAAGTATGAAAAACATCAGTCAGCATTTGACTCAATGCATTTAGCTATTATATATATATTTGCTATTGCCTTGCCATTTACATGTACCTGAGACAACATGCCATTGTAAGTCCAACGACACCAACATTACAATGACAGTTATAAAGACTTGTCTCGTTCTCCTCTTTGGACTGAAAATTTTGTTCAATTCATTATCGATTTCCAATATTATTTCAATTCTTTGTTTGTTCGCTCACTCTGCAATGGAATTAAAAATGTGTAATCTCAGTCTATGGCGCAGAATTAAATCTTGGTCAGTTTATTTAGATATTTAGGTTTTTGTGGGGAAGAGTGACTCAGAAACTCCTGGTAGATGTAATTAGTATCATTACATGCAACGTGGAAATCATTTTTTTTTACGACAGGAAAAACCCAAAACAGATTCATATATCTATGCTACCATTTTTCCCGGTATAGTTAAACAATAACTACATACAATATAGACGTATTATGCAAGCGAACTAAAATGCAAAGTTGAGATGTTTTTTATTACAACAGGAAGATTTAAACTCTGACCAGATTCATATATCTTTTCTACTATTTCTTCCGGGATAATTAAACAATTATATATTTTCTTTTGTTGATGCATCAACAGTGCCGAATAATCAGAGCATATTATAAGAATTAGAAAAAACTGTTTTCAATCAATAATTCCCAATGTACTAAACACAGTGATTACTATCTATATATTATAGTTGATTGCAATTTCAAAAGCCTTTTGTATTGATTGCAGTATTACTTCTTGATCAGAATAAGCAGTATTTTTTTTTATTTTTAAATGCTAGCTTATATAATGATTTATGTCGAAAGTAAACATTAATTATTTTGTTGTGAAATTCATGTAAATGTGTCTATCATTTTATCCATTAAGCAAATCTTCATCATTTCTAAAGATATATATTTATTTGAAGAGAAGTTTATATTTTTAACCATGTAATCCAAGGTTCGAGGGCATATGTTTTTGTTCTGTCTGTCTGTCTGTTAATCTATTTCTATGTTTGTCCACAAAAACTCTGCCCGTTATGTTTGATAGATTGGAACTTTGACTTTCATTTTTATCACATGTGTATTCCTTGAGACAAGAACTTTGGGAAACAACATATTTGACCTCTTGACCTTGGAGTTTGGCCAATTTTTTTCAAACGTTAACCTAGGCCATAATTTTTGAACAGTTAGTTCTAAGGCTTTCATTACTCATAGTTGTATTTCTTATGACAAGACCGTCCACTTTTTAGAAATAAGACTTAAACCACAGTAATATAACTTTTGAATGGTTCAAATGAAAGGGCTTTCGTACCTCATAGGTGTATTTCGTGTGACAAAACTTACCATCGGATACCAACATATACCGTTATGACTTTATGACCTTGAATTTTACAATCCTTTGAAAAACATTCACCTTCTCCATAATTACTTCTGAAAGGTTGGTGATATGGCTTTCATATTTTACAAGTGTATTTCTTGTTATAAAACCGTATCTTTGGGCCCCTTTAATTTTGACCATTGACATTGACTTTGATAATGAAACTTAGTTTATCAACTTTAATCTTCGCCATGGCATATTAATGTTTGGAGCTAGGACTTTCATATTTCTCAGTTATTCTCCCTATGACAAGACTTTTCTTTGCCTGACATTTTTTAATCATTTGACCTTAGGGTTTAAATTGCAATTTAGTAAATTTAACCTTTGTCATGAGCTGACATACAACGGTATCAGTGTTTCACGAATACATCTTGTTCATATATCAAATACAAAATTTAATGTGCATCATAGCACACCACTGTTATTTAAGAAGCATATTACATCCCAGATAACGGAAGTTTATTCACAACACTCACGCATAATAGTCTAATTTTTTATCTTTAAGTGCATATTTGTCGACTTCCTTGTTTATACGTGTACTAATTAATAAATATACTGTCTATACAAGTCAGTGTAACTTCTATTTATTTTAGAGAAAAATAAGTAAATGAAGATAAGGGATAAAACGTTCGTTCTTATGTGCTTTTCCTTGGTGATATTCAATGGTTGGTGAGCCTTTTGAATTATTTATTAACTAATTTAAAAATAATCATTTTGAGATAAGAATTCTTAATTGAGCACTCTTTATTTATAGTGTTTTTCACATACATGAAGCAAAAAATAAACAAAAAATCAAAGCAAATCCTTTAAATTAGAAAACGATGTACATTGTAGCTTTTTAAAGAAAATTAAAAGCACATCGATGATCAGAAAACCCAAGTCACATGTATCATAAGGGTATTTTGAATAAATTTAATCTATGGTACATATAATACGTACTTATTCACAATGAAATTTTATAGGCCTTCACTAAATGATATGTACAAGGTGAAAATATATATAGAAGAACCGGTAATAAATAAAAGTGAAATATACATATTTAATCTCAATTGTCAAGCAAGGGTCTTATAAAATGGTCTTTGAATTTCATGTTCTCAACTGTCTACAGTATGGATTACGAATTAATAAAGATCAAAATTCCTGCGATACTGCGTTAAATAGAATTTAAAAAGAATACGTATGAAATCTTTAACAAAAAAATTTAATTATGTCCCTTTAATTGATAGCCGTCACGTGATTTGTATGAACCAGAAGTTGCTAAAAATTGAAGCATTCAAGGAATGTAGTGTTTCAATTGAGGTCCGTTACATCTGACATTTTAGCTCATGAGGCGTTTTTATGGAATTCAGTCCCAAGAACATCCAATAAATGATTTCTTGTAAACAACTTAGAGGCTCATTGTTCAATAGACCCTTTTCCTATGACATATTTTGTGTAGGAGTTATTCCCCTTAGTCGCCATATTGTAGGGCAACATTCCAAGATCCTTTCATTATTCGACCAAGTTTAATTTGTATTTACTGGTTACTGAGGTAAAGATAATGCTATTACATGTAGTCATATGAATATACGTTTGTTTAAGCCTCTTTTAATTCATAATTATAAGATTGTGAATGTGTTTCCCCATCTATTTCTTGCATGCATGTATAACATTGGTTGCTCAAAGAGGTAAATTCACTACTTTGCCCTACAAGATGGGAATAACTCCTAGGCAATATATGTCACAGGAAAAGGGTCTATTACATGGAGGACAATTTCGTAAAACATCCTCAATCAATCATAAATTCAAAAATCAACGATAATACAAAATATGTATTAGAAGCATTATTTTTGTTGTAATATAAAATTTTTGATCTCAAGATAAAACTTATAACCTGGCAAGTGATTTAATATTCCAACATATCCAACTATGTAAGTAAAAGTTTTTATTTTATAGATACTTATATCTAAAGATACACATTATGGTGGCAAAATTCTGCCCCCTAGAGGCAAGATAAATGACTTTTTTTGCATGTTTTCATGCAAAATGTATGTCAAATGTAAAAAAAAAATATTTCTTCATGCACAAACATATGTTGCCATAAGGATACCAATCTTTTTAGAGAGTCAAATTTTTATTTGTAGTAAACTTACTTACCAAATCCAAAATATCATATTATACAAACAAGATGCAACATAATTATGCTCACATGCAAGATCATTATTAATGTGAACATGCAAAGATATTTATGTCAACTTGCAAACAATATAATTATGATAACATGCAACATAAATATCTAGGCATGAAACTTATCTCTGTTAATATGGAAATACTTTTTATCCACATGTGAGATACAATTTTGCATGTATAAACTTTATGTCAACATGCAAAATAATAATTTGCTTGTCAACATACATATTTGTCATATTGACATAATTTTGCATGATAACATTAAATTGAATGTCAACATAATAATTTAGCATCTAGTCTGTATTACGTCAAATATTATGTTTTTATGTGTAACTTTTCAAATATCGAAATTTGGATTCTCTAAATAGATCGATAACTTGCATGTCAACATGTAATTATACAAAATAATAAATCTTGGCCAAAAAATAGCATGTCCACATTGTTATGCTGTATGTTAACATTATTTATCGTGCATGTAAGGGACAGAAATTTGCCACCATAAAACATAAAATTATAACAATACATATGTCAACATTCCAAGTCTTTTTTCAAAGAAATTCAAGATTCCAAAGAAGGCTGCAAACAAACAAACTATGTTTTAAAATGTTTATTTCGAATGGTTTTTTTTTTCTTTTTACAAGTTTTACAACATTATTAAACACTGCCTCAAAATAAGTACGTACAAAAATTACTCTAATTGATGGTTATTGGCTTACCAAATTTCTTTCTCTAGAGAATTTTTTAAATTCTCAACATTTGTGTAAAATATAGCAAATTTCAAGATATATGTGTATATTTTTTCTTTCCTGTTTTCAATGCAATATATAGTTATAGTCTTTCAGAAAATGATAGCCAATTTCCTCTTCAAGGGCCTCTAATTATAAAACGAAATGAAAGTTGGACTGATTAAGACACAAACGAAATGACGATTAAATTGTTTTGCTGAAACTTCATTTAATTTTCATACCCCAAGAAAATCTTTCTTAAGAGATTTTTTGCAGTCGTGAAATCTGAGGTTATTGAACAGAAATTGACACATTTCTTTACTTTTTTAAGGAAAAGGAATGACTATGTATTTTGTCAATGCTTGTTTAACATTCTAGAAAAAATATATATATAAATATATTTTACATCATAGATGTTATATTATCTAGTTGATATCACTATCTGCATACAAAACTCATGGAACTGGTTTGAAGCTCAACAACATTGCAGCAATTCTAATGATACCCTGAAAACCAGTGGTGTAATTCTGAACTCTGTCCAGCACTGGACTGGTGTTTACCGGCGATATTCACCCTGGATAAAACTTTTAGGTATTTTTATAAGCTCTGGAGCTTTAATTTTCCTTATATTATCTTTTTTTACAAAAAAAACATGCAAGGTGACACACTTTACTGTCATTAAAATGATGTCGTTTTACTTGTTTTAGGTTGTTATGATTCTAAAGTTGTCAATGAATATGGAACGAACAACTTTTATTTCAACGTAACATCAGCAGGTTTTTGTCAAGAGATATGTGCATCTGTAAATTCCACTCATTTTGGAATTCAGGTATCCTTTATATATGTTATGTCATGGATACAGTCAAAATGTTCAATCAAACTGCCCATGTCCCTTTGTAGCAGATTTTTTTGTCCGGGTTAAAAATGACCAGAGGATGTCATTTTTCAGTGTTGAACATCGAGACCAAAGCCGTTGAATTGAGATCCTGATCTTTTGTATCAATATCAATATCAGTCTTTAGATTAACCTGTTATTTTATTCAGTTTCGAATGGACAGTCTTTACAAAACATGAAACACTTTTAAATAGGATTCCATTGATACGCAGCCGTGATTTTTGGGCAAACCCAATCCATTCAGAACTGTCCAAGTTTTACAGCACGGAAGCTGTAAATCACACTAGACGTACAAATGTAAGAAAACGTATGAAGGGGTCCTGTAAAACACCGTTCCTCTACTTGATCTTTGATATCTATTGTTATTATACGAAAATTTGTAAACACTAAATATAATTTAAGAATTGGTTCAAAATGCTGTGAAGTAAAGAAAGTGATGCTTTTGGTACGGTTGTTATGGACATCCGCGGCATAACCCCCCCCCCCCCAAAAAAAAAAATAGTGAAATTGTAACCGATCAATAAGGTTCACAAACATGTAAATTCAAAATTATGTCAGTCCTATTTATTTTTTTTATTCTGGTAAAAAAATCTTTGAAATTCAGGCGCATAAGCGGAAACATATAAAGCGTGTAAAGCAGCTTCCCTTTCAAAAACAGTTCAAAATCATAATAACCAAGCTGTTACAGAAAAAGCCCAGCAAAAATTTTCACAACCATTGTTCTCAATTATTCACCAATGAAAACTGCAACCAGACTAAATTTTAAACCCGGATCAATCTTCTACGTTTCACATGAAATAGTTATGTTTTTCTCGAAGAAATGTATAGTATGAACAGACCTTTTTCAATATACATGTCATTTAATATTTCACAAATAGATTTATTTACATATAAGGAGAAGTGTGATTGCCTTATTTCAATAAACTCTGTTTTCCAAAATGCTTTACGCGTAGTTAGGAGAGTGTGTCTGCTTTGAAGGCCCCGTTTTTGCAGAGACCATATCATCAGATCAGTGCAACAAATCATGTTATGATGTTAGGGATGAAGGGGCCATTAACCTTTTTGAATGTGGAGGACAGAATGCATATACTTTATATACTTCAGGTATTTCAAATTCACTTCTAGCATTTCAATTCAACAATCTAGGAATATTTACACTGTATGATTTTTTTTCATTCTATTCATAAAACTTTTTTATACCCATCATTTTTTTTTTACAATTTTAATTGTTGTAACATTTTCATTAATGAAAACCTCCCTTCTTAGGTTAATATTAAGAACATTAACAAAAAATTGTAAAGTTTGTTCTATGGCTACTGTAACTCTACTTGGCAATAAACATAAGGTTGAATATTCATTGAAACAATTCAGCATGTTAAATACCTGTAACTATTTCCATTTTCAATTACGTCGGACTTTTTTCAGAAGAGTTTTCGGTTTTCATATGTTTAACATCATAGTAAAGAGATTACAGACAAGAAAATAACCATGTGAAATTTAAAAATAATCCTATATATTTCTATGTCAGTTTTAATATCCCATTGTGCCCCAATATACCCGGAGGTCATAATTTGAAAAAAAGCTTGAATCTTCGATTCACTTTATTGGTTACTTCCGTAATAGTACAACTACGATATATTGTCGCATATCTGCAGTGATTTTCTTTGATCTTTCTGTGGTGATATATCCCATATCACATATGCGATAATACTTTCCACGCCCCTCGATATATCACTGCAGGAGGCAGAAATCAGGTCATGAGAAAAAAACTGATTTTATTTCACCAGTTCATAACCACAGTAAAATGAACATGTATAGCTATTTCTTAGCCTTTAACTAAATTAAAATACATGTATTTAACTCGGTCGAAAGTTCCCAGTCGTTCAAAAGATTAATCCATTTTGAAAATTTGAAACTTACGGTAAAATCTCCAAACTTTTTATCGTTTAAATCCTTGCTATTTGTTTCTGTGATTTCACATATGTCGAGTACCTGGCTCAAAAATAAATTGTCAAAATCTTAAAACTCAGTTAAAAACTCAAAGTCAAATTCACTAAGAACGTCCGACATGTTGGAGAGCTAGCTTGAAATGATTTTTTTTATTATTATTGAATTTTGACACTCTCAATGAAAATTACGTCATCAGACATGCGACAAGTTGCTTACATCATAGAAGCCGAGTAGTATTAGTTATATCGTTTTCATGGGGCGTGGAAATCTCGGGCGCTCCGCGCCCTCGATTTCCACGCCCCATGAAAACGATATAATCAATACTACTCGGCTTCTATGATGTAACCTATACATAATTTGCTTTTGTTGGAAAGCTATTTTTAATGTTTCGGACACTATGCACTGTATTCCAGTATAAAACGTTTATTGTTCATTGTGGTTTTTGCCCTTGATTTAAAAAAATTACAAACTGGGGATGATTACATTTAAATATGACTAATCACTGTTTTACATTTTTGAGAAGAATAGTTTCAAAGTTTTTTTTCCTGATTGCTCTTGCTGTGTCAACTCCCTACCTCTGGGGTCAAGATTTGAAAAAAAAATGATTCTACGACAAACATAGAGGTTATTAAATAAATATCATATTTTTGTCCACATTAGTTATTAAGAAAATGTTTAAAGAGTGATATTAAATATTTATCAATACTTAATTATATACCCTCAAAAGAAGGTGTGAGTCTTCATTTGTACAAACTTAAATCCCTTGACACAATGGTGCTATGGAGTAAGTTCGGATGAATTTGGCTTTGTTGTTCCTGAGAAGTTATATACGTGAACAATTTTCAAACGACTGACAGACGACTGACGCACTTCGATCGGAGGAGTTCACTTTAGCCTCCTGCTAAGATGAGCTGAAATGTTCTGTTTCAAATAACAATTTTATAAATGTTAACAATAATATTTCTTTCAATATCTATAGAAGCCGACAAAGAAAATAGAGGGGCAACATGTCTTGCAGTAAACTGTGGTGGTTCTCTGCAGGGGTTTTCATACTCTTCGAATTGTTCCGAGTCATACTTTGGAGCCTGTGTCTATAAAGGTAATGCCCAAGTACATGTATATGTAAATATCTTATAAAAATAAAGAACATAAAGGATTGGCATAAGAGATATATTTGCATACGCCATTCTCATAAGCACCACTAAATGTAGCTGTGAAGGTAATCGAATACAAATAAATCTTATTTAAAAAATCACATAACTACCTCATCTCTGATAGCGTAGCACTTTTCCACATAAATTTGATCGATTTCAGTAATAAGAAAATGAACACAACTGGGACTTCCCTGAGATTTTTTCAACAGTTTGAGTGATCTACCCATTGATCTAAATTCATATTAATTTAGATTTCAAAATATTAACCAATGTGTATTCAATTAAAGTATGTTTAGCATTTTAAAAGGCCTAGATTATTTAAGTACGGCTCCGTCATGCAGATAGTACAGAAAAGGTGATTCATCGATAATCTTTAAATTCAATAAAATTGGGTTTAATATATTCATTTGGGTCTAAAATAAATATAAACAGTTGATTTCGTTATAATTCTTCTTTTTTCATATAGCCAGGGATAAAGTACTTGAGGTGTAATTTTGTATAGATAGTGTGCAAATGATGCCTATTTCAGGAAAGAATATCTTTAAAACCCAAGAAGATGTACAAAAACTTAATACATGATTAAAGTGAAAATGGAAGGCTTAAGAAAAATTTACTTTAACATTTTTGTGCGAACGAAGTATTGAAAAGATACAAGGTGTTTAAAATCGAGAATTTGTTAAGATTCTTCAAAAGAGTTATCTCCCTTTGCAAGTTTACATAGGTGGCGCTAGTAAAAATAATGGCAGGCTCCACGGTTAGCAGTACGCTGCAAAGTTATTTTGATGCATCCTGTGATGTTTATTGCAAAAATATGTGTGAAGTGACATGAATTGGTTGGAAGGATTTTACAAGAACAGATTAGGCATAGTTTTTGGGGCGAAAGTAGGCATGTGTCATGTTGATCAGTATATCCATTATTGACCATGTTGACGCTCTCCCGAAATGCTACTCGCCTACTGACACCATTGTGATCGATCTCGGATGTTAAACTTCTACGGTAACCAGAGTGCAAGAGTAAACTCTCAGAGAGGGGTGGCAGTCCGATTTTTTCAGCATACTCGACTTGGAGAGGGAAAATGTCACATTTGGACAGTTACATTTCACCAGGTAAGATCAGATCCAGAACAATTTCTTGATTAAGATAATTAATTTTGTAGCTTGAAATAGCTATGTAGCTTTAATATGTCGACGGTGCGACCGTTAGGGCGAGCGCAGATTCTTATCCATATTCATTTAGATTGGACATGTAAATCCGCACATGACATTTGGTGCGTATTAGACTCTGACGTCATATGACGTCGTTTGTATGTTGCTTTACCAAACCGAAGCCTGAACAAGGCTGATTTCGGGTGCATCGATTGACCCAAATGGACCCAAATGGACCCAAATGGAACCCAAATGGACCCAAATGGAAACTCAAATGGACCCAAATGGAAATCAAATGGACCCAAATGGAATATAAAATATAAATATTATATCGTATTCTCAAGTTTTTACTTATTTAAAATATAGAAAATAATGAAATTAAAACAAAAAGAGAATATTTTAATATCATTATTTTTTTGAATTGTATTTTTAAAAATGCGATTTAATTCTATTTGTAATAACTATTGAACATGCTTGAATACAAAACTGAAGTATTGTTAATTTTTATGGCTGTAGGAACGGATGGGGGGAGGCCATGCCAACCCCCCCCCCCCCCCCCCCCTACCCCCAAATAATTTCGCCGGTATATAGAATACTATCAAAATTTTATGCTTCAAAATACAACATTAGAGATTAATAATTTTTTTTAAAATCCATTTGTAACTGTAAGTTCATTATTTTCATCATTTTGAATAAGTATTAAAATACGATAATACATATTTAATATTCCATTTGATTTCCATTTGGGTCCATTTGTGTTTCCATTTGGGTCCATTTGGGTTCCATTTTGGTCCATTTGGGTCCATTTGGGTAAATCGACGCGCCGCTGATTTCAATCAGTTTATGACTATCTTTCTATCTTAATCAAATCAAGACAAAATTACTATTCGTTTAACTTTTGTTGTTATTCTCGCGAGAACGTTGCTTTAGAGTTTGTGTACGAAGCAAAGCATTATGGGTCTAAATTACTGCGATAAAAAATTCTATGAAATGAATTTGCAGTATTCCAAATTTTCTCTTTGCACAGGCGTTGTCATCAGAGCTCGCAGTTACGTGCGTCGCTTTGCGACCCTCGCTGCACTTGCTATTAATCTATTCAAAATAGCTCAACAAGGTAAAGCTTTTTATATGCAGTCAAATGTATTTTACAAGTCCTATATGAGAATGTATTATGAGTCTTAAAAATAACCTCAAATCATAGATACTTAAATTGTAGTATTGCAGCTGTTGAATACTTTTAATTAAGCAAAAGATGAATTTCCATTTTCTTAAAAGCTCGTGTACACTATACCATGTATACCGTTAACGGAAGGCAATTTTCAGCACAATGTTTTTGCCTCTAGCATTCTCCAATTAACTGAATGAGTCCTCAAGCATGACAGTCTACTATTTGTTAATACAAATCAAAAGCTACACACAGTTTTTGTCGGTTTACTGTATACAATTATTGCTGTTTTTAAGGTCATGCATGCAATACAATGATTTAGACACCTGAGAAGTACAATATTCACTGAGCCCGAAGGGCGAAGTGAATATAGTACTTCGAAGGTGGATAAATCATCGTATTGACTGCAAAAAACAGCAATAACTGTTTTATTAAATGATTAAATGATAGCAAACTCCTACAAGACTATTTCTTTGCTTTAATGGAAAGTTTTAACAAGAAATTTAAACAAAAACATATTGTAACAGAAAAAATTGAACGGGTCAATAATTCCTTATATTGATCTGCAATAACTCCTTGTATTGACCTGGAACGTCACGTGCAGGTCAATGCAACGTAGTATTTTTCTAACATAGTTGGTTCTCAGCCATTCAGAGAGAAGAAAATTATTCAATCAGATAATAACATACTTTATTTACTTCATCACCAAGAACAAGAAAGTTTCTTTTTTACTTTATACAGCCAAAATTGAAAGATTATTTTTTCAAAGACACTGCTCAATGCTCACATTTAAAATTGTAGTTTTAGATGATAAATAAAGTGGACCTTCAGATATCTGGACGCCAGATATCCGAATGCTTCAGTATCCGGAGGATTTTTCATCAAAACGGAAATTTTTAACGTAATTTTGTCTTGTTTAAATGGTAATTCAGGTATCTGGATCCTTCACATATCTGGACAAATTGACTAGGAACCAAAGCGTCCGGATAAATGAGGTTCCACTGTAGTTGCCTCCAATACGTACCGTACAAATCTTGTGAGGTTAGCATGTCTTACTTTTGATATTTGATTGAGGGTTTAAATGAAAATTGTGCACCTTGTACTGCTGTCTTAAACTATGTAAAGAAAACTGTAAACTGATAGCCAATTTACATGCAAATTTAAGCTGACGTCAGATACTGTCAGACCTGTTTAAGTAACTGTGCACTCCCCTATGTGCAATGAAGCATGAAAAAGTATGATTGACACGTATGGTTAAGGCAGTATTTAAAATAACTGTTGCTCAACCGCCTGAGATGCACAACTTTTGTCACAGGCAAACAGATTGAAACAGATTTCAGATTTGACACCCGACTGGACATGTAAAATTTTTTAAAAACTTTAACCTTGGTCATGACTTTTGAATGAAAAAAAGAGGTCTTTTCTTATTGGGATTCCTAACCAAGGCACACATGGATCTCAAAAAATAGATAGAAAACTTGGAATGGTTTAAGTAACAATCTTTTAAAATCTCAAGAACAGCAAAGTGATGATATGGAAGCATTCTCTGATGATGAAGTGTATAAATAAATTGGTTCAGTTAAACCCCCCTTTGGGTAGGATGGGGCCTCAATGGGGATCAAAGTTTCACATTCCAATATATAGGGGAGAATCTTCCCTAGAACAGCAAAGCCATGAATAATATTGTACTGATATGGAAGTCATTGGAAGAAGCCTCAAGTAGTGTAGATTCAAGTTTATAATGCTGTTTAAATTTTACAAAAGTTAAAACCGGAGACATATTGCAAATGATGAAAAATACACTAGTAGAAAAGATATTTCACATACAGCAAAACTCATTTACTACGAACATGGATATAGCGAATTCATGGATATAGCGAAGTTATTTTAGATCCCCAGCTATATAAATTTAACAAATTCCTTATATTTATATAAGGAGTAACAGATGTAGCAAAGTAATTTCATAGGTTCCGGTGACTTTGTTACAACTTTTGTTTCACTGTATTTCATAAATTAGTATTATTTTTGTTGAAATGAATTACACGTATACCCCATTTTTAATTTCACAGAATGTACACGATGGGCTGCATCATGGTTTTGAAGGAAAAGGTTATACTATTTATTACAGACGGCAAGGAAACATCATTGAACACCACCAACTAATAAGACTCTAAAGGTGGGAGAATATATGTCATGCAACCATTTTAGATTTTTAATGAAATTACTGCATTTTATAAACTTATAAAATCAAAATGACTATTTAGTACCTTAATAATAATGTAGCATAAACAAAAGAGTTCTAAATTCATAATTGATGAATGATAAATACATGTACATGTATATTGTAATTATTATTTTAGGAATAATGGAAAATAGAATATTTAAAGCTGTCAAAAAGCATAGATTAGAGTTCAGTGGATGCCGTGACGGTACTTTGGATAATGTTAATCAGGCAGTGATTCTCTTCCCAAGGATCTTAAGTGCTTTTAGAAGAGGCTAATAAACAAAGAACAGTCACTTACTACAGAAGAGAAGCAGGGGAGATTAGTGATATTCTGTTTGGCATGTACTGCACCTTACAAAGATGTAAAACTTTTAAAATTGTGTTTACATATACAATGTTTATATTATAAATGTATCTAGTAATCAATATTAATATGATTGATATTTTCAAATGTTTTTTACAACATTTTGCTGTTCATTAATGAAAAAATAATTTGTGTTGTATTTGAATTTTAAAATGTAAAGTAATTTATTTTGAAATGTAAACTGATATTCTTACATGTAAACATGTATTGGCGTGTGTACATGGTGTATATATTTGACTCTGACAAAAGATGATGCTACTTCTTTTTTTGGTGAAATTATTAATCACAATGATTTTTCTGCAAATGATTTTTTTTTATTTTTGATAGGGTATCGTATCTATGAAACGTACTCAGCATTTTTGTTTGGCTATTTTTTAAATCATAGATATACCGGTATATTATTTTCTTGATAACTGAAATCCTGAAAAAATGATATTTTGTTGGTTTTTGTCAACATGAATTATCTCCCCTTTTCAGCTTGAAATTAGAAATAATACTGTACATAGATATAATTTGATTAATGAAAATAAATAATTGTGTTGTATTTGGAACTATAAAGAAATTTAAATTATTTAGTAATGTTATTTATGTTTTAACATGCATGAATATATACATGTCATTTATTCGACTATGACAAAAAAGTGAATTTCCCATTTTTTGTATGAAACTCTTCAATGACTTTTGGAAATTAATAATCATTTGCTCAAAAATGTTTTTATTATTTTTTGCCATAAGGTATGATTTCTATGAAGTAAGTGCAGTCTTTCTGTTTGGCAGTATTGTATTTTTTCTTTAGATTTTTTATCATATAGCTGAATTTAGCTGTAAATCCTTTTAAAATTGAAAATTTCAGTTTTTCTCAACATGGATTATCTCCCCTTTTCAGCTTAAAATTAAAAACTACTACTGGACGTGGTAATATTTGGATTAATTATGAAAAGTAAATAATTTAATTGTATTTGAAATTGGTAATATAAAAAAAATGGTTTTGAAATGCCATTTATTTTTTAAATGCCAACATATATGGCATATATTGGACTGTGACAAAAAGGTGAAATTACCATTTTTTGTACAAAATTCATCAGTTATTTTGGGAAATTAATAATCATTTGGACAAAAATGTTTTTATTATTTTATTTGCTTTAGAGTATAGTGTCTATGAAACTACCATGGCCTTTTAGATTAGATTAAGTAACTACTTATGCTGTATTTTAATAAGAAATAAACATAAATGTGTTTTATTGTTTAGTTTTCTTTTAATTTAATCTTCAATATTGATATTATTGCCTGTTTTTAGAGGAAATTTCAGCCATTTTTTGTCCAAAACAGTTTTCTGGTTGCCATGGATACCAATGAGAGAATTAAAAAAAAAAATAATAATTTTTTTGGAGTATCTATGCATACTCTACCAACATGCAAAGTTTGAAAAAATTCTGAAACCCCCCATGAATCACCCTCTGCATGATTTTTACACGGAGCTGTACTTAATTGAACATGTTATTTACATTTTTTTCCCAGTGGATAATACAACAGTGATTTCTATTTATTGATACAGTGTTTGTTTTTCGGGCACCATACTAAGTATATTGACAATTAAATGGATGAGCTCAATATATACACCTTTATTCAGTATAATTTTTTAAATGTCTAAAAAAAAAAAACAATTGTTGCACTGATGTAGATAGGGTCCTTATGTTCTAGAGCAATTATAGAATTCCATGCCTAGTCCTTATGAACTTTCCACTCGTTCCTGTCTTTTACAGATTATCTAGGATGTTTTCAAGACCAGCCAAACCGAACCTTATCTGGAATCAACCGTATGGGGGACTATAAACTGACTGTAGAAAGATGTAGAGATTTTTGTACTGACTACCAATTCTACGGAGTTGAGGTTTGCATTTTAGTTCCTTGCTTTTACCGGGGACATTTAATCTCATTTCTCTGTCAGTCCGTTTGTCAGTAATTCCATCTGTTTCAATAACTTTAAATTTAGTCACAATTTTCTAATGAAAAGAATTGACTTTCTTATTTCACTAGTACATTACCTTTCACAGGACCTTACCAAATATGCATGTTTTGACCCCGTGACTCTGACCTGGAAGTTTTTTTAATAAACGTTACTTATAATAATTTTTGTAGTATTCGCCCCGTGACCTTCATGTTTGACCTTATTTTCAACAATTTTTACTTAGGTGATTACTTTTGGATGATTTTGAGAGGGTGTTCATATTTTACTCAATAGACCATAAATAATGACACCCCATCCACTAAGACACTGAAAGCTGGAGGACCAGAATTCTTTGAACATGCTTGTTTGTTCAATTAAGAAATTTTTTCAGTGAGGAAAAATACGTATTCCCACTGATTACTATGACATTTGTTTTATTTATAGTTTGGTGGACAATGCTTTTGCGGGAATTTTTTTACATCATTTATCAAAACGCCTGAAAATGAATGTAATATGAAATGCAAAGGGGACACAAGGCAAACTTGTGGTGGTGCCAACCGGATCAACATCTATAGTAATCTAGACTACGAGACAGGTATTCTACGAAATACATAGAAGTTCTTATGGCCAATTTCAACCAAACTTATCTTTGGATAAGATCCGTTCCAAATCATAATATAAATTCACAGATTTTATCTTTAATGATATCAGTACTCAATCGCAGGGGTAATAAGGAAGCATACAAAATATTCTACCTTGACTAAATCAGTGCTACATTATGACGTCATAGTAGGCGAGATGACGTCAATTTTAGAACACACGTTTTTTGTAATATTGGTATTCAGAGATGTAATTTAACTCTAGAAAATGAATAGATACGTGTAAACATTAACAAAAATAAAATGTTCTTATTTCGTTATGATGTATTATGTCATTTTGATTAAAATCTACCACCAATTACGTCATATGTGTACATCAAGTAATTTGGGAATTGATCGGGAATTGATCATGTCGTGTAAAGAGAATTTGGCTATGACGGCATGAACAAAGATACGTAAAATTGAGTTTAAAAACAAATATCGTGAATATTTTGTGAAATTCATATGTAATTCAGTTAATAAAACAGGTATGCTAATCTATATTTATCGATTATATTCTCTATCGAAGACAGTCAGCTATTTTTGTATCCTGGTCGGCCTTTCCTCTGTCAATTGTGACAAAAATAATGCAACAGAACAACAATAAGCTGTATATTTCAAAACATAACATTTGTACAGATGGAAAGTTTGCATCCTAAAATACTTGGAAAGTGCTGCTAGAATCCCGAGTTAAGCATGGTTTTACGAAAAATCTCGGTTCATAGGTAAAAAATTCAAAATATCGGGTAAGGTTTCGTGCGAATGTGTGGAATAATTATTTTACTGACGGGACAGTGGGATTCTAGCAGCACTTTTTAGACAAAATAGATGCTTTTCAACATTATTATTTACTAATGACAAAGAAATTATTAAACTCCGGGGTATTGTTGTTCTGTTCGCTTTTTTATTAAGGAAAATTTCGCTATTAATAGAAGTCACGTGATGTCGTGGTGGTGCTGCACGTCGTTGCGTTAGACACTCTTTTATCTTTATGCAATAGATAATAATAATTTACGCTTATCAGCGGTTTTGGTAAATTATCAAACTAAATTTTCTTTAAAAAGTCTGAATTTCCCGAAAAATGACTTATATGCTTCCTTAACATACCCGCGATTTCAAAAGTCCATTGAAACAGTACAAATTTTGGGCATGCTTTTTGTTACCAAAATCGAGTAATAAGACATACAAACTAAACATATGCAGGTAACAATGGCATATTGCTATTTAAACACGGGAAAATGACCATAGAAAAGTTTGGTTGCAAGTTACCATTAACGTCCATTTCTAGTAAAATACCCAAAAATGAAACATACGTGCCATACCTTGTAGTATCTTTTTTTACAGCTCAAAGGGGTATATGGAAATGAATTTTGTTAATTGATAAAACGTAACATTGTGCATACATCTAATGCTGAATTGTGGATGCGTCCTAATGTTGAATAAAATTCATCAGAAAGGGACTTTATGTTTTTCCATAAAGAGAATTTTAGAATAAATTATCCTACCTATGAATACGAAATAGTTCTGCAGTGTATTACCGGGACGTAGTAAGTCCAAAAAGGAAAAAACACTGAGACACTGTGAAACAAAAACTCAATCATCCTCTTCAGATCAACTTTGGAGTATTAATTTGAAAACGATCAGAAAGTGTTTAAATATAATAACTTTTCAACTGGTCTGTGACAAAGTAATACATTAACGAGGTAGTCATTCTTTTCTCTTTTTTTATAAAGAAATGTCTATGTTATAAGAAATCCCAAGCTCTAATTCAGCACCAGGAATGATTGTTAAAAGTGTAAAAGTCTTTTAAATTATGAGTTTATGTATTTTCGGCAGTAAACCTCTACACAGGCAAGTCACTCAATGCATTTACATTAGATTAAAACATTTGATATAATCTTTGAACTAAACAAATTCCCGGTATTTCAATTTTTTAAAAACAAATTGAGAAAAAATCTCGACTTCCTAAAATATACAATATGCAATTCTTCCTGTTGTATATCTTGGTTATTTGATTAAAATTTAGCTGAACTGTCTTAGTTTTCATTATTTACCCCCCATTTTTTTTATTTCAATTTTATTTGTGAAATACTAACACATAAATATTAATCAATCAGAGATAACAACAAACTGGACATCATCAATGCAGATTTGTAAAACAAGGTCTCCCTCGTCTTATTTAATTGGAAACGTCTCCCTGACTGACGCCACTTTGGCATGTAAACAATTGCAAAGGAAACAGATAGGGCTATCCTGGCTAAGCATCGCAAAAGAAGTGTATACTGGGTATGATCGAGGTATGAAAGCTATAATTACTTTTATCTCTTCTTTTTTTTTTTTTACCACTCAACCACTCATACTAGTTTTCTTTAATCTTAACATATAATCTTAACTTATATTTGTAGTACTAGCATACAAATAAAACTTGACAAAAGTGTTTAAATACTATTTTAGTACTTTGACTTTTGCTCGACGTCTTTGTGATATAAAAGGGAAAAATGTAACAAAAATGCAACATTGTCCAAAACTTTAAATTATAAATTAAAATTATGCAAACCATTATGGATTTAATATTTTCATTCTGAATAATATCGAAAACATGCATTCTTTTAGCCGTTCTATAGAGACTCAATTTCAATATCTGACAGGTGTTGCTGTTGATATCGATGAAAGAGAAACATTTCATCAGTGCCAATTATGTAACCAGACGGGCTGTTATTTTAGTGATTGTTTTCAAGAGCTGAAGTATTTTATTTGTGAAAAGGTATTGCAAATAAATGAATTGGTGTTTCAAAAATATATTTCAATGTCATTCTTTCCTTCTTAATAAGAATCTATAAGTTATTTATATTCACATTTCATTGCAGACACACAGGAACAAAACGTCGATAAAAGAGCTTTCTTTTCCTTTTTTTCTTTCGAATTTCATTTCCAATTCTTTTCTTTTTAGATGAATGCACATTTTTCTATATATAAATTATGTTTATAATTAAAGATGCAAGACTACAGTATGTAGAGTGCAACGGTTTTTTTTAAAACTACATTTAGTCAAGGTATCATTTTATCATCTGTTAATTTTTTTTCCAGGATTCGGGTATTCCAATACCCCAAAGTAGAGCAACAAGTAAGCTGCCAAATATTCATGTAATTTCTTATCTGTTTGTTTGACTATGCTTAAATATGTTCGAATCAGAGAAAGGCATGTCCAATATTTATTACTTCTTTTTGAAAAATAATATATTCAGTCCACAAGATTACATTGCAACATGTTGAAGAACGAAAATGAAGTACATATTCTTTTAATTGCAGATTCAAACATAAATTTCCATATCATCATTCCTTTATCCTTAGTCGCCCTCCTTCTTTTCTGCTGCCTGGTAATGGGAATCGTTTGCTATAAACGGTTTGTACCTATTTTTACAGAACAAAATTCATAAATTCGTGTTCAGAGTATACGCTTCATCTACCGCATAAGTGGAAATTTTAGTGAGATTCAAATTTAGCGATTTCTACTTAAAAAATTGCATTTTATTTTTTGCAAGAACTTAAAAATTGGTATTTTATTTTAACAATAAATAATTTTAGCGATTTTAAAAATGCTAACTTTAGAAGCTATCATTAATAAACCTAATTAATTTTTAGTGATCTCCAATTTTAGCAATCTCAGCACTCTCGCTAATAATGCCAAAATAAAATGGTCGCTAAAATTACCACTTATTCGGTATTAGAAATTGATGCACAAATCTGCTGTTTATACTTTTGTGTGTTTAACAGCCGGAAGTCAAATCAAAAGAACAAGAAGACCGCACATCATCTTGCAAATCCTAATGAAAATTACTATGCAAATGAAACTCATGCGAGGAACATGTATCATGATACTTATTCTGAACGGAATCCTAAATCAGACAATTCTGAACAGGTCAATGATGACATTTATAAAGATTCAATGGACGGTGAATATGACCATCTGAGAGGTATTGAGGCAAGGAGACAGAAGCCGGAGAACGTTTATGACCATGCTCCAGTTGTAACAGAGCAAGAATACGCTTACGGAGGATATAACGTCAGTATTGCAGGAAAACAACAACAGTTAGAAAATACTTATGACCACAATGCGTCTTTTTCTGATTATAGGCAAAGTAATATTAATGATAATGAAGGACCGAATGCAATATACGACAATTGTTCTCGAGTCCATAAAGTGAATTAAAGATACTCTGCGTAAAATTACCACGTTAATACAATTTCTTTGTATATATTATTAAAACATCGTGCTTATTTGAATTAGGTTTTAGCTCAGTAGACCAATAGACATACTCTATTTATTAAGTTTATCACATTTTACATTGCTTTCTTTAAGAAATTCAAGTTCTATTATAAATATTTAATGATTAGATAAAACTTTTTAAAAATAAAATGTTTTACAGTCAATGTATTTGGGATCTGCATGCGTCCGTTTACCTCTCAATAGTTTCTTATTTGAGCACATTCCCATGCGGTTACACATTGACTTAATTTTGCCTTCAATAGTGTATGGTAAAACGTATTCGTAGGAACAATCAATTTATAAGAATATGAGAGGATTTTTTAATCATTTAAATCATAAAGTTTGTCTTTTTATCTGAATGTTTTTTTTTCATCTAAGTTTAATTTGTTCTGGAGATATGAAATACCAAATAAATGCTTTAAAGATTAAACAAATTCATTTCAGTTGGAATAATTATATAGCGCAGGGTATTACCAAAAATATCTTTTCAAAAATAAACAAAAGAGGTCTTCATTAAAATTTCTCCTAAAACTATAATTATTGAATACTTCTGCCTTTAATGCCTTAGAAGTGTTGCAAATATACCTTGCAAAAGAGATGCAGGTTTACTTAAATAAACATGTCTCATCATATCTGCAGTTATTAAAATGACAAGGTTTGTTTTAAGAATTTTTCATCCATAATCAATTTTCATTGAGAATATGTTTTGTAGGAGAACGTTTTGGTGACAATTTATAATTCTTTGTCTTCATTTATGTTTCTTCAATAGATATGTTTAAATAATCAAAGTTGTTAATAGGTTTAAGAGAATTATAATGTTTGAATATTTTCTTACATAAATAGATAAGAAGGTAATAATTGCGTAATATCAGTGTTAGAAAATACCTATTTCTGAATTGAACATTGATAAAAAAAAAAAAAACAACAATATATACAAACCTTTGAATGTTTGTCTGAAAAAAACATAAATGAAATATTTTACTTTTCCAAATCTTTTAATTTGATCATGGGAAAAATAAGATGCTTTGAATCGAGTAAAGACAATACTTGTTTATCTTTCTAGATTACCTTGACGAAGTCGGCGTCAGTGTCGGCGTCAGTGTCAGCGTATGTTAGTGTTGGCGTTAGCGTCGGTGTCAGTGTTGGCGTTAGCGTCGGCATCAGTGTCAGCGTGCATTAGTGTTGGCGTTAGTGTCGGCGTTAGAGTCGGCGACCTGATTAAAGTTTTAGGAGCAAGTCTACTCCAAAGCTATTCTCTGGTACATTCCATCATGACAGGTGTACAATAAAAACATCTCTTCATTATTTTGTTAATACATGTACTTGTATATAAATTTTCATCGAGACTGTTTTTGTTATGGCTTTAAGATAAACAAATAATCAAATTTATATGCAATAGGTCTAATATTAAATTTAAAAAATTCTATACCAGTCGGGACGACATTTGTCACATATTGTCAATATGATTTGATTGTACTTCAGTATGATTTCTTTCAAACCACTACATCTTTATATCTATTCAGTATTCATTGATGGCATATTTGGAATTTCAATTTAAAATGAAACAACAAACACAATACTAGTATACAACAATTAAAAAAACTAAACTTCTCAACTTCAACAAAAAAATGGGGATATTCAAATATCTTTAATTCTTTATGCAGCTGATCGGTCGGGTTTGCATTTAGTATCATCATACTAAGTAGATAGTAGAAACAATACAAGACAAGTAAAATGACATAAATTTTCTTTACTTAATATACAAAACAAATGATCAAGTCAACAATCAAATGCTTATTTCTTAAATAGAGTTACATTCAATATAAATATAGATAAATGCATTAGGATTTTTGTTAAAAATCTCCATAATAAATTAAAAAGTTCGGAGATTCGGAGACGAGACCTAGTATTTGGAATTCTAAAACATTGCAATGAATAAACAAATCATTGTATTTCAAAGATCAGTAGGTATGAAGTAAAATCGTTTTGTTAATGTGCTCCATGTACAAGGCATCTGGGCATGTTC